CTAGTTAGTTTATTTTGAGACTATGTAGTTGTATTTAATAATGCTTAGATTGGTTATTATTTGAGCTTCTGGCTGATGGATGTATTTATTTTGAACTATGTTAGATACATGTGATGAGAACATATAGACATGATGTATGGATGTATTCATTGGGCATAAAACCATTATGTATGTATTGACCCGATGAGGGGATTGCAGTCTGTGTGGAACTTGCAAGCTGTCTGTTTAATTATTTTATCTATCAGGTTATTATATGTGTGGGACCCATGTTCCCAGTTATCTGAAATACAGTCGTTATGCTGTTCATGAGACTCCGTCAGGAATGATACTCGAGGTCATATCCGGATGGTCAACGACCACTAGTGATGGCCAATGGGATTAATGTGTAGTTGTATGTGTTAGAATTACACTTTCGCAACACCTAATGTGAACGTTTTTAAAAAATATTTTCAGAAAATATTTTGGAAAAAGTTTACTCGTATTTTTATAAGACGCATTATTATGTTTTTAAAATTAAGTCTTTCGCTGTGTATGCTAAATATCATGTATGTTAACAATCGAAGTACTACGGGGTGTTACACAACGGATATAATATTATGGACAAATCAAAAATCATATTATTTATAACAAGTACAACTTTAAAGTATTTTTTTAATCTTATTGCATTTTTGCAGCACAACCAATTACTCTTAGATTTTTAAAAATATTAAAAACACATTTCTAGAAAAAAATTTAGGAATTGAATTTTATATAAATTTTATTAAATAAATAAAATTTACTTTATTTTATAAAATAATGTATTATTTATCTAGGAAAAACTATCTCCTGTACTTCATTATGAGTCGTTTGAAAAAAAATTATAGAATATTTTTAAATTTTTATTTCTCTCTTATAATTTTTTCTTTAAACATTAATATTTTAAAAATGTCATGTAATTTTTTTATAATTTTTTCCCTCGTAACAATGGAAGCATTAATTCCTAAAAATATATTATTGATTTTTTGAGTTAACTGACCCGTAATTACCTCTTTGAGGTGAGGTTATCCCACAAGCTTCGATTTTTCTGGCTAGCTATAAGACTAATTCAGCGCGCGGGATAAATCAAGGATGAAAATATTTAAACTCCATCCAAAAATGACATATGTGGATCAAACCGAAATCTTTTCTTTTCCATTTACTTAGCTCCCTTACTACCTCCATTTGGTCACCTACAAATATATTATTAATGTATTTAATGTCTTTCATATTATAAAAGATAAATTTATCTCCTACATATACATGAATATATATATAACCCATATTTTCTTTGTTTTTTACATATTTATATATAAATGATAATTTTATCTCCTAAAATATTGGAAACACCAATTCACATTCATGGTAAGTTTTGCATAGAATTTCTGTATAACAACAAAACAGAAATCGTCGAGAGCACTATTGCCGACACATTTGACAGCTTTTGTAAAGAGAAATCGTCAGTCACGTGCGCACGTGTGGTCAGTACGATGCTTTTTATGTCGCCTATAAATAACAATAATAATCTGCAAGCTCAGAAAGTGATAAAGTATATAAATATCAGCACTCAGCAGCAGTAGCAGTGGCATCTTTCACAATCGTCCTTTTCCTTAACAAACAAAAGTAAATTCCCACTGCTTTTCTTTTCTTTTTGGTAAACTTTTTCTTATTTTCTATTTCTTTAGTTTTTCTGAAAATATTTATTCTATGCCATGTTTATCCCAAAAAGGTATTATCCTTTTATAAATTATGATATCTTACTGTATTATATTATTATATAATATTTTATTATTATTTAATAAATTTCATAATTCACTTATTATAAAAATTATTAAATAATAAAAAAATAATATTAAATAATAGTATAATTTTTTTTCTTATCAATAATAATATATTTCCTCCCAAAATCTCAATCGGAGCCACGTTGTTCCTAGCTAGGACCTTGGTCCTACCTAATTTTTAAAAGTTAGCAATGTGTTAGATGTAGGTAAATATTTGTGGTTAAGTTGAAGGCATAAAATTTAATGGTTGGCATCTAACAAGCATGGACATGGATGTTTTAAAAAATTTACGTGTCGAACACGTGTCCGACACGGACACGCTCTGATACGCGTCTGAATTGCGGTCAATATTTGGGGACACGCGGTCAACTCTCCAAAACATTTTTTCAACACGCAATCAACTTTTTTCGACACGCGGTCATCATTCCGACTCGTTCAGACACATTTTTTTTAATTTTAATTTTATTTTATTAACTAAATATAAAAAAATAATTTATAAATTAATTTTTTTCTGTTATGAAATTTGACATGAAAAATTAACAAAGTACGAAAAATTATTTTTATTTATATTTATGTTATGAAATTTAAATATTTGATTAGTTATATGACTTATTATGGACTCTTATATGTATTAAATATAAATTAATATTAAAAATTTTATTTAATATCAAAACGTGTCTCAATGTATCAAAATATGACATTTTTTAGAATTAACGTGTCGTGTTCCGTGTCCCGTGTATCGTGTCGGTGTCAGTGCATCATAGGCAGTGGCGGACTTAGGTTGTTGCCTCTGTCCGCACTTGCAGACAGGAATTTTTTTTTTTTTTTACAAAAGGGATAATTAGTTCTGGTAAAATACCAAAGGTGAAAAATTCCTTCTCCAGTTCTTCCTTCTTTCTCTTTATTTTGTTGTCTCGTTTTTGTTTAGGGTATGTCCTGTCCTTTCTTAATTTGTGAATTCATACGCTTATTGTGGTTTAAAAAAACTCTTGTCATTTCCATTGTTGGATATCTTTTGCTCTGGGTGGAAAACTACTTTTTTTGGCTATGCTTTTTGTATTTAGGGAAGAATGGTAAAACTGTGTATTATGTAATCAAAAAACTGTATAGCAACTTTGTAAATGCATTCACAAAATGCTAGTATTTTCCTTGTTATTTGTGAATCCTTGTATCCCATTACTTAGGTGGATGGGTGTGGAAAAACTAGTGATTTTAGCTTGAGAACTTAGGTATTGTAAAATTACGTTGTAAAAAAAAGAAAGAAAAAGAACCACTCCGTATTAAATTAGACTAGAACAGGGGTGGATGAAAGTGCCAGACAATATTTTAAGAAATTGTATATTACTGTACCATTGTTAGAATATATTTTCTTTTCCCTTATTCAAGACATCAAATAAAACATGAGTACATAATCATATTAGAGTAAAAAGTGTTAAAAATTAAATAGCAGGATTGCTATTTTCCTTTCATGAATTGGCTTCTAAACATGCATGATGACATTTTTGTAAATATATCACAACACATATCTAATATTAGCTATAAAATCCAGAGAAGTAGTTTCACTTTTTATAAAAGATTGCAAAAAATTGAAAATGCTTATTAGACTTTGACTTACAAGTTAACAGCCTGCGGCAGGAACTACAACTTCTTGCAAGAGATAGAACAATCACTATTGTAAATGCAAGTGGAACAGATTCTAGTTAGTTACTTTCTTTTACTCATCAAAGGAGTGTTTAGTTAAAAAGCCTCAGGGATTGTATAAATGATCACATGTGCCACTTTTCCTTCCATGTTGTTCATGTTGAATTTTGTTTATATAGAAACAAAAATTTCATGTATATAAAATATTGATTTAAACTTTCTTTATAAAAAACATAAAAAAATTCGAAAGCAGCTAACAATGCGGACATAAACAAAACTTCCTGGGCCACCACTGATCATAGGTTGGCATTAGCTAAATTTTTTTTGCCCTAACTTATTATTTTTGCTGACTCCGCCACACGTACTATTCTCTTATACGTGTTTTACAACAAAAGAAATAACGTACACGTACTGTATAAAACTTAAAAAACCAAAACTATCAAGGACAAATTAAAAATCGTAGTTTTGTTTAAATTACAAGTAGATGCAAATGCCATCAACCGAATTGATTTCATTAAAAAAATTAGATGAATAACTTGGTAAAAGTTTGACTCAAGTTGAGGTTGATTAATTGGGTTGGATATCATATTCGGTTTGAAACTTTTTTTTTTGATAATAAGGTTTGAAACTTTTTAGATGTCACTGGAACTACAATTGTAGAAAAAAGTAAGGTCCATTTATAACAAAAGTTAAGGCCCAGATTATAGATAGATAAAATGTATCTCAAGAGCCTAGAATGGAGGATGATGACCAAAGAGGTGAGGCCCATCCCATCCAAATAGATGTAGAAGAGAGCAAAATCTTCCATTCTCAACAAAATGCAAACAATTAAAAAACTAATTAACAATGGTTATTTTCCCCCCTTAAGAAGTACCGTTTATTAATGAGAGTAATATAGAAGGTTAGAAATTAGAATTAGAAAATAAATTCTCATAATCTCAGGGGGTTGACATAGCTGATAAGTGAGCTATGCTTATAGAATGAACTGTTGGGGTTGATAGGTCTCTGTTTGAATCTTAGGCGAATTAACATATTGTAAGTGATAAAAACCTTCATTTTCTTCGCCACGAAATATATTAGTCTCATTTAAATAGGTGGAGATATCCTTAGCAAAAAAAATTCTCACTAACTTGAAAGTTATACACTTAAATATAAATTATATTTTAAGAATACACATATCTATACATAAATTTATTCTTAAGACTAATTAAAGCAGAATAGCATCAACTTAAATTGGTATAAAAATAATAAGCCTTAACTAAATCTTAGCTCTTAATTTTTATGCGTCAGAGAATTGTAATTTATTAGATTACCCTCGTTAATTAATTATTCATTTTTAATAAATTATAATCATCAAATTTATAAAAGTCAAATATTAAAATTTGATGTAAGAATTATTTTTTGGATTGTATCTCAATCAAAATTATGTATAATTAATCAAATATTGTAATGCTAACAATTGATTTGTTTTAAAAAATTATATAGCTAAAATCTTACATAATTATGTTAAGACGAGACTTCCAAGTTAGTGCCTAAAAAGTTCTATATGATATGTGCGCCACGTGTGGGAAAAGGTGGAATGAATGGTTCGTTGTTGATTCCTTGTTTCAACGCTTACCGCGTAAGCAAGCAGCTGCACGATCAAAAGCATCCACCCCAAATCCCAGAAGCAGAAGACGCATCTCAGACGATAGGATCGGAGTCTATTAGGCGCTGTTTTCGTATTACAGATTTTCGATTCGATCTTTGTTAAGGTTGTTCATTCGAGCGCCATGAGTTTCATCTTCGGAAAGAGAAAAACACCCGCAGGTTTGTTCATGATCATGTCATCCCATCAAACTCTGTGTTCGATATGAATCTGGAAAATGAAAAAAAAAAAACTTTGAATTTTCCAAAATGGTTCAATTTGAATGATAGAATCAATCATCACGCGCAATTAGATTTTGCATTTTTATTTGTCTTCGACATAATCTCGTGTACCACAAAACCTGTTCGACCATTAATGCAAAAATAAAATTCCTTTTATAGTTATATTATCCCCTCTCTGCTTTATCTTTTTCTTCTTTCTTGTGTGGTTGTTGTATTGCATAATTAAAATTTATTGTATCTTATTAGCTTTTTATCTCCTTGTTCTGGTAATATGCTGAAATTACATAACTATATCCGTTTGCTTTTCAATCTCAATCATACTTTGCAGCTTTGAGAATGAATCATAATTTTAAGGAACTACTGATTGGCGTATTTACTTGTCCACTTGACTCAAACTGGGTTGATCACTAGTTTCTCGCATGCATTGACACATCTTTTGTTTGATTTGGTGGCATTTACTGTACTTTTTTTCAAGCTGAAACACTGCAAATTGATTTGGTAGTACATGACTGTAAAGTTTTGGTTTTCAGAGCTTCTGCGGGAAAATAAGAGAATGTTGGATAAATCAATTAGAGAAATTGAGCGAGAGAGGCAAGGTTTACAAACACAGGAGAAGAAATTGATATTGGAGATAAAGAAAAGTGCCAAACAAGGCCAGATGGTATGATGACTGTGTCGTGATTGTATAATTTGCGTCTTTTAATTTTTGGTGGTAGCATGTTGACTGTGGTAGTTTAGCTGCTTTTTTCTTCCAGAATTATGACACCACCTCTGTTCTTCTCGGTAGAGGAGTTGGGTTGGCATTTGTAGCTCTTTATAATATTTTAATGGCAGAGGGCTTGAAGGTGTTGGCTGCTTAGATGATATCATTTTACTTTAGTTTTAGTATTCTCACTTTTTAATGTACTTTCCTCAGTATCTTGCTGTCAATACTTGTGGTTGGGGAAATCGATCTACTTAATGCTATCATTTTCAATAACTAAGATATATATTCACAGTAATTTTGGGGATGAGAATTTTTGTTGTTGCTGTGCTTGCCATAAATAGCTACTTCCCTAGTGCTATTGCAGGATCAAAACTATCCTCCGCCCATTTCCCTAATGGATCTGTTAATTGCTGTTGTAAAACTAATGAGATTCTGAGTTCTCCTATCTCATTAGACAGAAAGCAATATACTTGAATTATGTTAAGTGCAATGGATCAGAAGTATTTAATTTTGCATTTCTGCAGCATTTGAATCCTTTCTTTCATTAAATTTGGGGTGTCTTGAGCGTGTTTGATACTTAAAGTCCATTATCATTTCTGATATTCTTTGTTTATCATGTCGTTTGCAACATTACATGATTTAGGGAAAATATAGGATTTCTGTTTTTGTATACTATTATACTATATAGGTGAAATTACGTTATTTAATCTTCGATTATTCAAACAACTCGTAATATAAATAAATTTGATTGTCATTCTCTTAAATTGGAGCTCCGCTATATCCTGTTTGGTTTGTACTGAAAAATAGCATGACATTAAAATGTGAAATTTTAACTAATGTGGTTCTTTCAAGATAGAGGAAATGGCTTGCACATGATGAATGTAGTTTGGTTTCAATAATTTTTGCCCAATGAATTTAGATTTTTTCACCAAACGTAATTTTGTCTGTAATGCCATGTATATATTTATCTGTTGTTTATGGTTAACTTCTGATTTATCCTTTACGGTGGGTCGTGTATCTTTCAACAATGCCATTTTTGTACTTCATGTAATGTTGTCCAGGGAGCTGTTAGAGTTATGGCAAAAGATCTTGTTAGAACAAGGCATCAGATTGACAAGTTTTATAAGCTAAAATCGCAGCTTCAAGGTGTATCACTCAGAATTCAGGTACGTTGTTGTGGTGACTGTATCTATTGTTTTGTAATTGTACTATCATATATAATCATTATAGGATAATACTAATAGTTCTGTCCTAAGGCTCAGGGCATTTTGTGTTTCTTGGAATATGATTAACTGGCTAAGACCTGCAAAATTTTGATCAAAGCCCATAGCTTTATCTTATTTGAGTACTAAAACCCTTTTTGTTTTTTTACACACAAATTTCAGACTTTGAAATCAACACAAGCAATGGGTGAGGCTATGAAAGGGGTGACAAAGGCCATGGGGCAAATGAATAGGCAGATGAACTTGCCATCTTTGCAGAAAATCATGCAAGAATTTGAGAGACAGAATGAGAAGATGGAATTGATGAGTGAGGTGATGGGAGATGCAATAGATGATGCTTTGGAAGGGGATGAAGAAGAAGAAGAAACAGAAGAATTAGTGAACCAGGTTCTTGATGAGATTGGAATTGACATAAACCAAGAGGTATGTTTATTACTTGTTTCCCATTCAACATTTTTCACCTGAAAGTATACGACTGAGTCACTATTGCAACGCATAACGGGTTTTCGTGTTGATGCACAGCTTTTGAATGCACCATCATCAGCAGTCGCTGCCCCAGCTGCTAAGACTAAGGTACCTCAAGTTGAAACTACTGGGAATGATGATAGTGGTATAGATAGTGATTTACAGGCAAGGTTAGACAATTTAAGAAAAATGTAATACTTCCTTTATGATATAGGGACCCATTTTTACTCGGGAAAAATGATTCTCATATGTACCATATAATATAACTGCAAGTTGTGCCAGGATTTGATGAACTCATGATTTTAAAAACATGTTTTCTTTTTAATAATTAAAATTCCTTTTTCAGTTTTGATATGTTAAATGGTGTATCCTTTGAATTATTTATATGTAGACATGTAGTAATATTGTATCTCACTTTACCCCAAAAAATATTGTTTTGATATGTTTATTAATCCCTTCTACCCTCAGTTTACTTTTTACCCTTTACTTCTTCAAGATTCAGCCATATGTTTTTGCAGTTTAAAAAATATAACAGAGACAAAAAAACAAAAACCAGACAACACAAGGTTAAGAAATTTAAACCCAGTATTCAGGGTTATGAGAAGGGAGAAAATAATATTGGGAGAGTTGTCCTTTATAATAGATTCGACAGTGTTTGAACCGGATTAACTAGATAATCAATGAACCTGTGGATATATTCAAAAAAAATAAAAATAAATAGTTTCATTATTTATATCATCGTTCAAAGTAGAAGAGGTGGAGAAAGCGTGGGTCACCCATTCAGGATACAGAGCACCATTTCTCTGTTCCTATAGCCGAGATACACAGCATAATTTACATGCAATTGCCAAACATAATTTTCATTGAAGTCGTTAAATAAATTCTGGACTGCGGCTATCAACGAGGCAATGAGAAGGGTTTTAAAGCAATCACGAAAAATGGTTACTTTCACCGTCTACTTGAACAAAGGTGTATGAGAATTAAAAGTGCCAAAGTTTAGAAAGACACGAAAGTGTCCTAACAAAGAGAAGAAAGCCCATGATACATCCTATTTGAGGTTTTTTTTTTTTTTACTTCTCTTTTATTTATAAGCAGAAGTTATATAAGATAAATTTTTATAAAAACTCTTATTATAAATTTTTTTATAACGAAAAAAATAGCTAAAAGCTAAAAACTCAAAAAGGAGTTTTTTTTTTTTCGTCGACAAAGGATCCTTTTTTAAGATGTATGTCAACTTTTTTGACTCCTCATTTATTTTACAGTTTTATTTTTATTCTAAATTTATATTTATAAATTTTATCATTTACCCTAATAATAAATTATTTTATTTTTCCTCCTTAAAAAACATCATAACAACTTTTAACTTTATTTTTTAAGGTATTTTATTTAGCTTTAATTTAAAAGTAACTTTTAATTAAAAAAAGAGAGATGTCAAACAGGCTATTAGAAAATATTTTTATTTTTGTTGTAAATTTCTTTTCCTGCCACACTCATAAAAGTAAGTGAATCTCATTTTATCTCATTAATTTTTTTTTCTCTTTTCTCATTGATCGTAAAAGTTGAATTTCTTTAGAAAAATGAAAAAAATATTAGTTTTTTGAGTTTAAAGAAACATGTATATTACAAGGGAAATGTGTTTATTATGTTACATGAGATAATTTGTCTCATGCAACACACAAAAAAGTGAATGAGACTCATATTTTTCTTTCTATCTCTTTTTTTTTTTTTTTTTTTGGAGTTACCCAACCCTAATTATCTCTTTGAGACGAGTTGGCTCCCTCCGGTATCCCCACGAGCTTCGACTCTTTGAGCCGGCTATGGGACTAATCCGGAGTGCGGGGGAACAGTGATGGCTAAAGGTTCAGCCCCCTCCCCAAGAATGCATTCAGCGGGAATCGAACACATATCCAACCCCACTAACTCAGCGCCAAGTTACCAACTGAGCTGCACCCATTGGGTTCTTTCTCTCTCTTCTTCAAAGTGGGTCATACCTACTCTTTTGTTTGTTGCATGAGACAAATTATCTCATGCAACTTGAGAAAAATCAAACCCATATTACAAATAAAACAAAATATGTAATTTTGTTTAAAACTAAATATAGACAACTTTTTATATATAATACGTATAAATAATAACAAAAAAATATTTAGGATATTTGATATCTTGTGTTTAAAAATAACTATTAAATATTAAATAATTGATTGAATTATAAATTTTGATTTAATTTATAAAAAAAATAATTTATTTATTTATTTTTGGAATAAATTAAACAATTAATTTTGTGTATATTTTGATTGAAGGAACCGCCAACAGAACAAATTAAAAGATGAGATATTAAAATCTCATATGCTTCACTGATATATTAAAAAGGAAAAATATTTTTTCATGATATTGGAAATATTTTGTCTCATTTTATAGAGATAAACATGTGAGATTTACTTTTTATAAAAAAAAAAAAAAAAAACAATTGAAGGAACCCACATATTTATCTATATTACATAAAATAAGATATCTTTAATAATATAAGATTAATAATTCCCTATTAAAAATAAGTAAATAAGAAAAGTTGAGATGTTACAAGGAAGCCTTTCGAAGAGTTGACTAAAGCCTTGTGAAGTCTTGCATCTGTACTAGTCCGTGAACAACAAGACCGTCAACTCGATTTTCTTATGTCAAGTCAACCAAGTACAAAAACATCAAGGGCATGTTTGGTATAAGAGAAATTTTTTTTATCAGGAAAATATAATTATTGAAAAAATTGAGGAAAAGTAAGTTTGCTAGTAAAATTGAAAAAAAATTGTTTGGTAGAACAAGATATTATCGAAAAAATTGATTAAAATTTTTTAAGTCTATGTTTGATTGAGGGTAAAATATTAATGGAAAAATGGGATAAAATTACGAAATCAACCCCTTTTATTTTTTGAATATCAATAGAAGTATTCCTTGCGTACGACATCTCTCTTCCAACGTTCATGTTCCGTCCTCCATATCTCTATCTTTCCTTCCAAAGTCGGTGACCATCACTGTTTTTCTTTGTGTCTCTCCTTTCAAACTCATTGAACATCACTCCTCCGTCGTCACTATGTGGTCTTAACTCTCAGTCAACACCCACAACCGAGCTTGGACATTAGGGCGGTGTTGTCGATTGGAACGGTGTTGTGCACTCGGCTATGCATGTAAACAATTCAGTTCTGTCTATTTATGCTAAATGTGGGGAGATGAGTTGTGCAAAGAAGCTTTTTAACTGTATGGATGAGAGGAGCAGTGTGACCTGTAATGCAATAATAACTGGGTATTGCCAGACGGGTGAGATTGAACAAGCTCAGAAATATTTTGATGCAATGCAGGAAGAAGGAATTGAACCTAGTTTGGTAATTTGGAACATTTTGATTGCCAGTTATAATCAGTTAGGGTATTGTGATATTGCAATGGATTTAATGAGGAAGATGGAGAGTTTTGGGATTACTCCAGATGTATATACTTGGACTTCTATGATTTCTGGGTTGACTCATAAGGGCATGACAATACAAGCTTTTGATTTGTTAATAGAGATGATTTTAGCAGGGGTTGAGCCTAATAATATTACAATTGCAAGTGCAACCTCGACATGTGCATCGAAATTTAGTGTCTGAACTTTTTGTATCAAACATATTCATTGACAGTTATGCAAAGTCAGGAAATATAATGTATTTCAGAAATATTTTTGATGGATTGTCATCAAGAGATATCATTAGTTGGAACTCTCTGCTTGCAGGTTATGTTTTACATGGCTGTTTAGTGTCCGCACTTGATCTTTTTTATTAGATGAGGAAGGAAGGACTTCAACTAAGTAGAGGTACTTTTGTAGATGTTATTTTAGCTTATAGTCAAGATGGAATGATGGAGGAGGGGAAGCGTATTTTCTCTAGCCTTAGCGAAGAATATCATATTAGACCAGGTCTGGATCATTATTTTGCTATAGTCTATTTGCTTGGTCGTTCAGGTAATCTTGCTGAAGCACTAGAGTTTATACAAAAGGTGCAGAAAATGCAATCATCATAAGGAATCACATACAAAAAGAAAGCGGTATCACTAATGGCATCAGAGACCAGTGCCTGCAGAAGCAACATAGTCTGAGTGCTCCAGATTCCTAACTAAATTCCAAAAGTTAAATTTAGCAGAAGATGATGTATTCCTTCATTTTCTCCAATAATTCTGTTCTGAAAATGGGGAATAAGATTGGGGAAAGAAAATGTTTGCTCCTTGATCATAAAAAGTGCATGAAATTTTCTCTGAATAAAAACCAGGGATGGATTTCTGTGGGGAATCTGATTCCCTGCCTTTCAATCCTTTCCTTCCATGGTGGAACACAAATTAGCTTATTATGCATAGTTCCTCATCTATATTATTTTTATGGAAAAAGTTCCCTGCCACAAACCCACCTTCTGCTGCCTTAAATTCCTCTTACACATTCCTCTAGCTACACCCACATTAACACTGTCACTTGTAGTATTCTCTGTCCAAAGTCTATCATTCTCTTCCCACAAGCAGAAGAAGATGGTAGTACAAAGAAGCTCATGTTACATAGCACTTAATGCAAAGATTACCTCTAATTTTATGTTTAACAATTTATATGTTTTTCTCTCTCTTTTTTAAGACCTTTGAGTTGCATGATGTTTTCGGTGCAGAGTTCTGAGGATTCTATAAATAAACCCACATCAGTTAGGCCATGAGGAGGCAATGGAGGGTCCTGTTGGGATGATGGGGTATACTCAGGAGTAAGGAAATTAGCGATAGTTCATGGGGTAGGAATTGACTCATTCTAGATTGAATATGATTGGAAAGGATGCTCTATCTGGTCAGAGAAGCATGGTGGAAGTGGAGGACATAAAACTGACAAGGTAAAGGATCCATCATCCATGGCATTAGCTGAACTTGTGTTCAACGGAGAAATGAGGCTTTGCATAGTGTTAAAATGAGGCTTTGCAGGCATGTACAATCTAATTTTTAGGAGAGGGTATTTCCGTCACGTTTTTCGTTCTCTATTATCCATTTAGCTGGCCATCTTACAATACCACATCCAAAGTGGCTTTTTTGCACATTGTTTCTCATCCTTTTTTCCAAACAATTCTCAAAGTCTGCGCAAATTGGTTTGCTACCAAAATTGCTAAAAATCTTGAACCAAACGTGGTCAACATAAAATCCTAATATATGATGCCTGGGTATCTTCTAAGAAAACCCTACCAAACACCCCCTAGTTTACTCGGTAAGAAAATTCCTTCGGGGGGGATTTTAGTATCGGGAGTTAGAGAAAAAAAGAAGCTTTCACTCTCGCCAT